TCACTTGGTTATAAGTATCTTTTCAGAGGCATTAAGGCGTCGCTGATGATTCCGTGAGTCGCCTGCTCGCGCGACGAGGCACTGGTTACGAGAAGATACGAGCCAGGGCGATGAGCCGCACTTACCTGAGTTGACTGTGGTCGGGTTGCCTCCCGGGCGCCCGCGCGGCCCGGGCATCTTCTTGAAGGGATTGCTCGGGTCCATGTCGTAGTCACTGTTGTCGGACGTTCCGCCCCGCGAGGATCCGCTCACGCCCGAATCCGCCCGTGACGCTGGAATGCGGTTGTTGATGACGGGCGTGGCGTCCACCTCGGTCCGGCTGCGACTCAGGCTCACGCCCTCGACGTCGGAGCGGTTCAGGCGCCCTAGACTCCCGAGATCGGCATCGCTGCGGGCGAGCCGCGGCCCGCCGGACGTCACGTGCGGGTGGCGACGCAGAGAAGAGTTGGGCGTCCCTTGCTCGGGCGGGCGGCCGGGGCGGAGGGCGTGAGAGATCTCTCGGGGCGGGCGTGGGGGGCGCTCCGGGTGCCGAGTCTGTGCTGCACGAGCCCCGGGGTCGTGCATGATGGCGTGCTAGTTACGGGCCTGAGCTGATGTACCCGCCGAGGGCCGGGTTCTCTCGGAGCGGCAGCACGGGGGACTGCGGACGGTGGGCGGGCTCGGAGCGCCCGCGCCCCTGCCCACTCGGGGACCGCGTCCTGGTGCGGGGCATGGAGTGGAATCGGTTGGGGTCGAGCTGCGCGGGCGGGGACTGACGGCTGCTGTGGCGGGGCTCTCGCAGCTTGCGTGGAAGCGTGGACGGCCGCTCCGGGGTGCCGAGGGGGCCCGGGCCTGGGTGCGGCGGGAGGTCGGGGAGCACCCGGCGACGCTGCGGCACCGGCGGGGACTCGGGCGAGGAGTACCTCTGAGGGCTGTGGTGGCCCAGGGGACTGTGGTGGCCGAAGGGGCTTTGGGGACTGCGCTCCCGTGTGTCGTGGTAGTGGGCGCGCGGAGGCGCGGGCGCGGGGCCCTTCAGGTGGCGCGAGGAGGGAGGCACGCCGTCAAAGCTGCTCATGCTATAGCGCCTCGGCGGCGCTGCCCGAGGAGGGTACTGCGGGGCGTCCCACGGGGGCTCGTTCTCGTCGGCAGGGGCGTAGTGGCCGCGGGGAGCCTTGCGGGGCGTGGGCACAGGACGGCCGCTGTGTGCCCGGAGCTCAGGAGAAGTGCGATCTCCAGTGGGAGGACCTGAAAGGAGTGGGCGGTTAGGTCAAGGCGCTCTTCTGCAGGATGAGATCGCAATCCCGTTAAAAACAATGCACCGCACAATGTTGGCGAAATGGGGCAGCAGACTAACGACAGGAAAACAAAACAAAGGATATTTTAAATATGTCGCTTTCAGAATTAACTTGTACCTGCCTTGATCTGAACTTATTTAATATATATCTTTTTATTTTCACTATTCATTTCATCTAAATTTCAGACAAGCTTTACAATCAATATACCAGTAATTTAATATCAGCCTAAATCATTGTTAATAAGTACCTATTAATTAATCTTACCAATCATGATTCCATGCATGCAGAATGCAGCATAACCATGAATTCATGATATATATATACATAGTATAATTTCATGCCCAATCAAGTGCTATCTTATGTAAAGGCGATGCAGGCATTCTAATCGATAAATGCATCGTTTAGCCTCTTTTACTAATTCTAAATAATCAAGACAAAAAAGTAACAATGACACGAAGACACATAACAATTCTAAAGGAAAATAACAACGCAAACTAAACACAAACACAAACATAGAAAGCACAATTAACAGGGACAAAACACCACCATCATAACTGTTACCTTGCATCTCATAAATCATGCAGTTTCATGTTGGTGGTTTTCAAAAAACGTGACACAATCCTCTAAACAGAAATAAACATCGACTGCATATCCATTAATCAGTAAAACAAGCACAAAACTGCATCAAAATCAAGAGAAAAATCACTCATCAAAGCGGTTTCAAGAAAATAGTTTGGTCTTACATGGCAATCGCTTGGGATCCCTCGTCCCGTCTTCTCGTAAGTCAGTCCCTTTAAGAAAACGGACTCCTTAAGATGGCAAACTCAACTAAATTGGTCTATTGTCTACGTACTTTTCAAATTCTGATTTTCACAAAATGGAAATTAACAGTAACTATTATGCACAAGCAAAAATGCTTTCCAAGTTCATTTTAGATTAACAACGAAATACATCTTGGTTTATTTTTTTCATAATTTTTTAACATCAGAGATCTATACCTCCTGACTTCGAATAAAAACGTTTCTTCTCGATATAATCTTACTTCACCATGCGAAGGGAAACAAACAAGATGACCTATCAATCACTCACTTGAGATAGTCCATGACCTCTTAATGAGGGATCGCTTGACAACATCTGCTGGGGGCACATAAACTTTGCTTTCTCTTCGTCGGCTTGGTCTGCGCACGAATTCGTTCATCCACTCGCCGGTGGCTAGCTGAATGTCTCTGCAAGGTAAACAGGAAAATTAATGTGGTTGAATTTGATTGTTTAACTGAGATGTGAAAAAAATATCAAGAGAATTGGAGGCTTATAAAGATAGATGGTAAGAGTTGACAAATATTTAGATTTGTATAAGTCATCCCTGAAAAAAAATACATTTTCTGTCTTTCCGTTTTCTTTGTTAGTTTTACAGGAGAGTCGAAAATAAACAAACATTTTCTCTTTTCTTCAATTATCAATACTTCTCAACCTCTTAAGAAACCAAATTATTTACACACAAGTATCAACATTATACTCTGAAAAGCTAAGATTCACGGCACAATGATCAAGAATCCCAGACGATTTTGGAGCTGCAGGGCGTAACTAAGGATGTGGTACACCGGACGTTGGAACTTCAGAAAAACATGTCATCACGGCGGGTTAGAAAGTAAAAACAGAGAAGGGAGCCAGGCCTGGGAGAAAAGGAAGAGGGAAGGGGGGGAGAGGACAGAAGAAGAAACAGTGGTGAGGGAAGAGGGAGGGGATAAAGGAGGAGGAAGAAGAACAAGAAGAGGACGGGAGAATTAAGATTTAGTATTAAATCCAGTTGTTACAACGGATATTCTTTGCTGTGACATACTGCCTGTTTTATTTTGCTTCTAAATTTCCCTCTGTGTGCACCACACGGCAGGGTGGGAAGGACTGGGAGGATGGGAAAAGGAGGGCAGGAGAATGGCAGGAGGAGGAGGAGGAGGAGGAGGAGAGAGGGAGGAGGAGGAGGAGGAGGAGGAGGAGGGAGGAGGAGGAGAAGAGAAGAAGAAGGAGAGAGAGAAGAAGAAGAGAAGAAGAAGAAGAGAAGAAGAAGAAGAAGAAGAAGAAGAAGAAGAAGAAGAAGAAGAAGAAGAAGAAGAAGAAGAAGAAGAAGAAGAAGAAGAAGAAGAAGAAGAAGAAGAAGAAGGAAGAGGAAGAGGAGGCCAAAGAGAAGGATAATAATAATAATAATAACAATAATAATAAAAATACTAAGAATAAGAATGAGCAAAAATCAGAAGGAAAAAGATCAATAAGGCCCAGAAGTAGAAAGAGGACAAGAACTAGAACAAGAATACTATGAAGGTAAAGCAGTAACTGAGGAAGGAGGGAGAGAAGGAGGAGGACGCGGACGAAGGGAAAACGAGGAGGAAATTTGAGGAAGCGACTGAGGAGACAGAAAAAAAAGAAGAGGAAGAAAAGAGTTAGAAAAGGAGAAGGAATAGAAAAATTAGGAAGAAAGAGGAAGAGAAAAAGGACGAGGACGCGGGGAGAAAGAGAGGGGAGGAGAACGAGAGACAGGAAAACGAGAAACAAGAATCAGTAATAGGAGGAAAAAAACTAAGAAAATAAAACGAACAGACATTAAACGCGGATGCTCGAACAGAGCGAAGGATATGATCAAACACAAGAAGAAAGAAGAAACAGAAGGAGAGGAAGAACAAAAGGCAGACGCCAAAGAAGATAAGGACAACGCAAGCAAGTTCAAAATGTCATTCACAGCCTCGCGAATATGGGCTTGACGAGAGGGCGCGTCTGGGAGCGAGGTTAGTGAGCCGAAAATGATTGAGGGAAGATCAGTCGAGAACGAAGGGATAATGAAGATAAAAGCAAAGAGCCGGATAGGAGATATATAAAAAAGAAGACATTTACTGAGAGATTCACGTCGAAAGCAAAGCCCCAAATCGCTAGCAGGCGAGACTGTTCTTAACGACGCGAATTTAAGAGAAAAAAAGATATTCGCCAATTTTCCCTTTTTTTCGCATATCGAAAGCCAAGTCCGGCAAATCTTTCACAAATCGCTGCGTATGAATTGAAAAACGATCCACCAATCTGCCCTTATTTTCCGCGCCTCGAAAGGAAACTCCGGCAAACCTTCCCACAAATCGCGAGCCGCCAAGAACTTTCTGCGACGCGAACTGCAAGGGGAAAAGCGAGGAGGCGAGGGAGCGTCCGTGAGCGCCGGGGTGCGGGAGAGCGCGGTGCGGCTCGCGTTTTTGGACACTCGAGGACAACAGGTGAGGTGGGAGATGCGTCATTCCCCGGCGAGTGGGTGAGGCTGTGGGGGTCACCAGTCTTTTGTGCTCGCTCTCCCTTCGTCTCCTTCTCTTCTCTTCTCCTCTCTTTCTCTTGCTCTCCTGGCCTCCCTCCATCTCTGATTGTTCGTTTGTCTGTGTCTGTCTGTCTCTCTCTCTCTCTCATTTATTCACTCACTCACTCACTCACTCTCTCTCATTCATTCATTCATTCATTCTATCTCTCTCTCTCATTTCCTTGCTCCCCTTTCCCCCCCCCTCCACTATCATCACCCCAACCCTCTCCTCTACCCTCCTCAGCCCCTCCCTTCCCCCTCCTCATTCCCTCATCCTCCCTCCCTCCCTTTCAGCATGTAACCTTTCGCCCCAGCACAGTTCTCAAAGCATACAGACAGCAATTAGTACCCTCCGCACTCCCCTGCCCGCCAGAGATACGTAGCCAGATCGCAAGACACGCAGCAGGACCATAATTGGGGGAAAAATAACTTGATCGGTAACACGTGCATGTCGGCGGCCAGGCCACCTCGCTCGCCTTGCTTGGGTCGCGGTCGAGGAAACTCCAATGCCAAGGGGGTACTTATCATGAGGGTCTTTATGATTATCGTTATTGTCATCATATTTTTCTTCTGATTTCGAGGAGGTTTTCGGATGTATCTTCCGATGTCTTTTTTCCTCGTGATGCCGAAAGCAAGCAACGGGAAAAGGCATGCAAGCAGAGAGAGCAAGCAAGTGACGCTTCTGACCTACTGGACTTTTACACCATGTATTTGACATTCAGTGTGTCAGAGCGTTTGGAGGGAGAGATATAGAGATTGAAAAGATACATAGATAGACAGGAACTTGAAAAGAGAAAACAGCGAAGGGTGAGTGAGAGAGAGAGAGAGAGAGAGAGAGAGAGAGAGAGAGAGAGAGAGAGAGAGAGAGAGAGAGAGAGAGAGAGAGAGAGAGAGAGAGAGAGAGAGAGAGAGAGAGAGAGAGAGAGAGGAGGAGAGAGAGAGGAGAGAGAGAAAGAGAAGAGAGAGAAGATATATATAAAAAAGAGAAACAAAAGAATAAACGCAAATACACAGACAGTCCAAAACAGAACCACACACACAACAAAAGAAGACACAAACATAAAAACACACACAAACACACACACACAACCCTTCCGACAACCCCCAAGCCTGACACATCTCCTCCGAGCTTCCCCCAATTAGAGGTTTCCCGTTGGAAGCCCGAAGACCAGCGAGCATACAAATAGCATCTGTTCAACCGACGCACTAACGGGGTCAGCACGGCGCCCTAAGTACTGTGGTATAGGTGGCGAGTCTTACCCATGATCATTACCGTCGTTTTGGTGTTATTTCTGTCCCTATATTGTTGGTGATGTTGTTGTTGTTCTTGTTGTCATTTTTCATTGTTATTGTTATTGCTATTATTATTATTATTATTATTTTATTATATTATTATTATTATTATTATATTATTAATTATTATTATTATTATTATTATTATTATTATCATTATTATTATTATTATTCATTATTATTATTATTATTATCATTATTATTTTCATTATTATTATTATCATTATTATTTTCATTATTATTTATTATTGTTATTGCCATTATCATTGTTGTTGTTATGTATTATTATTATTATCATTATTATCATTATTATATCATTATTGTTAGTACTGATCCTGTGGGTATCATCATTATCATTATTACTACTTTTTATAATTTTATCTTTTATGATTTACATTATCATTGTCACCATATATTTTTTATGAATGGATTTGCTTACGGGAAAAAAAATAATAATATGTTGAAACTAATGATAATGAAATTTACAAATTCATCAATAACATACATAAATTTACGATAACGAACACACACATATGAAAAGGTAATACAATATGAGGATAAAATAACTATTTGAAAAATATAAACATAAACACAACCAGTGAAGCATGATGGCCCCCTCCCCCTCCCCTTCCCCTCTCCTCCCCCCCCCCACTACAACGAAGTCTCACTGTGTATTTCATGCTCGCTCAATCTTGTTGCTGACTGAAGGAGAGAGAGAAAAAAAATGATGTTGAAATATTCTCTTTTTTTCTGCGCGAGCTGAGAAAAGAAAAATATCTTAAATCTGATAATATACATAGTAATTTTGTTTTTGTCATTTTGCTGTTGGTATCGCTCATCTCGCCAACCAGATACACGCTCAAACAACCAACAACCAACAAACAAACATGAATAAAAAAATAAAAAAACACAAATGACAGGCAAAGACAACAGAGTAACCCCATGGATGATAATATATAAATATACTTTACACATAGCAGAACTAAGAAACCTGGCCATTTCGTCTGCCCGCCGAGGCCACGACCGGGACTATATTCACGGGATGACGTCATCACCACCGGAGGGAAAACAGCATTACCAGGCAAACAATATTGGAAATCTACGACAAAAATAGCTCAGTATTACCAATTACTACGCTCGGTACTTCATTAGAGGAGCGGTATTCGTTAACATCAACATGGCAATAGTTGGTACAAGAATGCAAACCATGACATCATGCATACCAAAGAAAACGGTATTGCCAACATATGTACCACAAAATATCCTAGGGCATAACATTCTCAGCGATATACAAAACATAGCACATCATATATAAATATCAAATAACGAAGAATCACAAACAGTAATACGAGAGATGAAAAAATTTTGACAATGAGTTCGAAAATCCTATAATTTTCTGGCGTAAGAGTTGGCAACAATGGACTGAATAATGTAAATACAGACGAATCACAGTCAACGGTTTTCGATCATGTTAATGGCTGATTTTCGTGGATGAATAAGAAAAAGGAAGATGAAGCACGTAAAGGAAAAAAATAAAAGAAGTGAATAAAATAAAAAGAAATGGGGAATAATATAGTACTAGCGATTCTGTTCAAATTAAGCACTCCAGAC